TGGATGGATGGATGGATGGATGGATGGATGGATGGATGGATGGATGGATGGATGGATGGGTGGATGGATGGATGGATGGATGGATGGATGGATGGATGGATGGGTGGATGGATGGATGGATGGATGGATGGATGATGGATGGATGGATGGGTGGTTGGATGGATGGATGGATGGATGGAAGGACAGATGGATGGATGATGTATGGATAGAGCAGTCTATGGGGCAACAATGAGACACACAACCATGCACACTTACATCTAAGGACAATTTAGAAATGCCAATTAACCTAAAAGTCAGAGTTATAGTCTATGAAGGAAGCCAGAGTACCCAGAGAGATCCACACATCCACAGGGAGAACAAGCAACAAAGCAGATATCACACAGCAATGCTATGCTAAACTGTTACCTTGCTGCCTGCTCAAACTCCGCTTCATTAGTGCCGACCTACCCAGTAAATGACCTGGTCAGGTTATACATTAAGATGTGAAAGAGGCTGAAGATTTAGAAAAAGACATTCCTTCACTTTTATAATGTTAATTAATGAGCTACTAGAATATTATTGTGCCCTATTCTGCTTCAAGACTTTAACTTAGCTAAGATATCTGTTGGTTTTGATGTTCTGCTGGTTTTCATGTTAGTTGCCAACAGTTTCTTAAACATTCAAAGTTCATCCATTTACTTTTAATTAGGCTGAAAACCAACAGCATAGTCCTTATTGTTTGGTTATGCAGTATGTAGCTCCGTTTCTGCACTTCAGTGATCAGTTAGCGCATGAGAAAGTGATGGTTTAATCCGTTTTATGAGGTCTGTCACTGGTGGTCACGTCTGGAAGTTTTAACGGGAGCATTTTGCTCTAAACCCTGGGTGTGTCTGTTCAGAGGAAAATTCTGAAAACCACATTTTTCTGTCTTTTTAACGTTCAAAACATTTCATTTTGTCTGTCACCATGTTTCTTAGTTTCATAACAAAAACCGCAGCTGGGAGAGGTTGAAAACACGCAGAGATTACGTTACTCTGTTAAAAGGGTCTGGCGGTGTTTGTGCATGAGGCTGGTGTGTGAGGGGGAAAGGAGCCAGCCTGTAGTTCTAAACACTGGTCTGAGTCAGACTCCATTATGGCGACAGAAAGGGAAAATCTTGTTATTGTCGTGCCTAAAAATCAGCCACTGAGTCAGAGTTAAAGATTAAAGTTTATTTTTTAATCATAGAACAATAAAGAACATTGGAAATTGTGAACTAAACAGATTTGATTACAAACTATTATTCCCAGTGAATGGTAATGATCTAAGCTTAGAAGCATAGATGAAATAACATGGAGGTGATGTTTTTAAACAATTATAGATATATA